ACAGGAGGAGTGGCCAGCCTTGAGTTGTTAGAGTGTAATTCATTTCATCAAAGAATCTCTCAAGTCTCCAGAGGTCATTGAAGGCAACATTGCAGCTGTTCTGGTTACAACTTCCAAACACCTACATAGACTGATTAGCATCATAATAGCACAGTCTGTGTGAGAACGCTGAGTAATTGGGGTTCCAGGGTAGAGTAAATGTAGCTCTCCCACTGAATGATTCCTTTCTGGACAGCCAGGGTGACACTGGTGGGCTACTCCTTTGATGAGTTGATACTACTGTTTGCAGATGGGATGCAGTCTTGTGCTCCTGATACCGGACAAGAAGGACAGGATATACTCCAAAACCTGGCATCTTCAACCTGTTATGTCCAGGCTTCTCAGCCTTCAGTCCTGGGTGGGCTTTCTCATCTTGCTCCATTGTTCCTTCTGGTGCAGTTTCCTCTTGGTCCAGAGCTATGAAACTGTCATCTTCACTGTCCAAAGAGCTGGCCATGAAATTCCACTCCAAAGCATTTCATGGCTTCAGTTTTAAGGAGGACATCTTTCTGGTTCACTCATCCATTTGTGGATTTGGCCCGGCCTGCTCCATGTTCTCAAGTTTGCTCTGCTGGTGATACTGGTGAAGGGCCCTGGTCAGGACCAGGCCAGAGGCACTTTCCCCCAGGCTGCACTTGCCCTGCTTGGGTGTCCTCATGGCTGGCAGGACCCCAAGCCACCCACAGCCTCCATCTTCCTTCACTCAAACATTTCTTAAAGCTCAAATAAAGTATAAAGTTTGGTTGTTCATATAGTATTTGTCAAAATATTCATGTCCTATGCATGGTAGAATGAGTGCCTAAAAACAGCCTTTGTCTTGAGATCTTTATTAAATAATTAAATTTGTTCATAGTCAGAATAAATTATTAGTACGAGCTTGAACAAAATAATGTAAAAGCTGGGCATGGTGGTGCACATCTCTAATCCTAGTACTCCAGGAGGCTGAGGCAGGAGAATTGAAAATTGGAGGTCAGCCCGGGCAACTTAGAGAGACCCTTTTTATAAAAATATAAGAAAGGGCTGGGAATATATCTCAGTGTAAAGGCACTGGGCTCCATCCTCAGTTAAAAAAATAAAATAAAAAATGCTGTGGATGTTGTTCAGTGCGAAGGCCATAGGTTCAATTCCCATTACTGCAACAGACAAACCAACTAACCAAAGAAACAAAAATACAATGAAAAAACTATCATGAATTGGTAGCATAAAAGAAAAATTATGCAATAAATACTTTAAGAAAATTGGTTGAATATTTAGGAAGAAACAGAAATTCATTTTGAATACCCTAATACTAATGAGTTAATTGATGAAAATCAAAACATAAAGATCAGAGATTGTTTAACCTCCAAAGTACTTAAAACTTCTATGTCTAAAAATTTATAATAAAATTATAATTAAAAATTTGGAAAATATGTAGAAAAATTTTACCACACAAGATTAAACAAAAAAGCCATTGATATTTTGATGTACAAAATGCTCTTTGTGAAAAAGAACATTGAATTGCAAGAGTTAAACTGCAATAAAAATAAATGTGAATATTAATTAATAAATACATATGAATATATAAATATGGATACTTTACAAAAATGAATATTGACTAATATGATAATGTTTACAAAAATGTTTATTTTCAGAGTAACAAAGGAAATGACCACACTCTTACACACACAAATACACACATTCTTCTCCCTGAATGGATTAACGAAGACTGACAAAACTGCCAAGTAAGGAGGATGCAGTGAGTAGAGTCTGTTATGCTGTTGATGACAGTGTTATCTGGGGCAGTTTTCTTCAGTTTGACCACATTTATTGATAATTTTTAATGTAATGTATTTCACTTTTAGATCATCTAGTACGTAAATATGAAAGCATAGTTAAGTAAACTATGGTAATTTCAAATAAGAAACTATTGTACAACCAATCAAACAAAAACAAACCAATATAAGGAAGAAATAGCCTTAGATATGTATTAGAACAAAGTCTAGAATGTATAAAACTTAAACAAAGTATAGGTGATTATTTTCTGTAAGTATTTTGAATTTCCTGTAATATAGGCTACATTATTTTCTAATAGGAAAAAAGTATAGGAAGTCAGATGATTCTCAACCTAATGAAAAAGCAATAAAAGAGGCATGACAGTAAATTTGGGGCAGTGAATAATTAGAGTACCCAGATTTAAAGTAGAACACAAAATGTTGAGATCAAACTTTAAGAACAGAATGAAGTGGCTTAAGACATTAGAACAGACAATACAGTTTAAAGTTCAAATTTAGGTTTAGGGATGACAAAAGGTGGTATAGTTTATGAACTAACAATCAATCAAAGCAAAAGATGCACATAAGCTCGAGAGTACACAATGACTAAAAAGAATGTGGCTTTCAAGTGACAACCATATTTCCTACTGGGAGGTGCCAAAATTCAGTGTTCTTAGCATCTTTTATGAAATAGAAAGCTAAGATTCTAGGGTTGGAAGCCCTTGAAAAAAGATACAATCATCAACCAAACACCAACCCTGGTTATTTTAAAGCAATTGTACTTTGTGCTAGGCTACAGTTATCTCAACTAGTTTATTTTATGCTTATCTCTTATTGTGCAATCAAGCCCCCAAAATGGAGGTTTCAGTTCATTAAGCCTAATCAAAAGGTAAATGTATGTACAACATACATAAATGAAAAAATATCTCATGTTTATGGATTGGAAAATTTAATATAGTTACATGTCTGTACTACCCAATATGACCTACAGATTCAGTGAAAACCCTGTCAAAATTCCAATGTTATTTTTCATAGAAATAGAAATAAAATCTTAAAATTTGTATGGACAAGAAAAGACCCCAAATATCCAAACCAATTTAAGTCAACAGAACAAAGCTGTAGGCATTGTACTACTGATTTCATAATCTATTACAAAGTTATTATAATCAAATCAATATAATACTTACATAAAAATGGATACATTGACCAACGGAACAAGATAGAAAGCCCTCAAATTTACAGTAAAAACTATACATTTGTGATCAGTTGATTTTTAAGAAAGGTGCCAAGAACCTACAATGGGGAAAGGACAGTCTCTTCAATAACTGGTGTTGGCAAAATTGGATACATACATGCAGAAGGATGAAAGTTGACCCTTATCTCACCCAATATACATGGCTCATCTAAAAATAACTTTAAAGCTTCAAAACTGTAACCTAGAACAGTAAAATTAATAAAACATAGGGGAAAATTCCACAAGATTGGTGTGGGCAATGATTTCTTAAGTATATTCTTCCAATCACAGGCAACAAAAAAACAGACAAATAGAAACACATAAATCTAAAACTCTTCTGCACAGCAAATGAAACAATTAACAGAGTGAAAAGACAGCACATACTATAGGAGAAAATATTAGCAAGTCATACATCTGCTGATGGGCTAATGTAGGCAAAAACTCAAGGAACTCAATAACAAGAAAAAAAAATCTCTATTTAAAAAGTAGGCACAGAGCCTGAGTAGATATTTCTCAAAAGACATACAAATGGCCAGCAGATATGTGAAAAAATCCTCAGCATTGCTAATCATCAGCAAAAGACAAATTAAAGTCACAATAAGATATCATGTCATACTTGTTAGATTAGCTTTTATTAAAAAGAAAGACAATAACAAACATTGGTGCAGATGTAGAGAAAAGAGCATACTGCAAATCAGAATGTAAATTAGTATGGTCTATTTGGAAAGTAGTGGGAGATTCTTCAAGGAAACTAAAAATAGAATTACCATGTAATCCAGCCATCCCACTTCTGGGTAATAGCCAAAAGAATTGAAATCAGTATATTGAAGTGCTATCTACATTCCCAAAAAGACATGTCTTTTTGAATTAGGATCTGAGTGTAACTCTATTGATATTTTGGAAATGCACATTACTAGTTCCCTCAAAAGTGGTTGGCCTATAAGAAATGCATCACTAAGAAGAGTCTTTGGAGTCATTTTTATCTTTATTCTCAATTATAATACTACTCTCTGCCACAGGGAGAGAGAGCACTAACTCTTAGATTAACATGAAATATCACTGCAATTTTGTCCGCTGTATCATGTACACTTTCCTTTGTGAGAAGTGGGAAAGTGCCACATATGTTCTGTTCTTTTCTTTTCTCTCTCTTTCTTTCTCTCTCTCCCTTTCTCCTTGCTTGCCTTCTTTCCTTCCTTCCTCTCTTTTTCTTTCTCTCTTCTTTCTTTCTTTCTTTTTTCTGTTTTTCTTTCTTCCTTCCTCTCTTTTTCTTTCTCTCTTCTTTCTTTCTTTCTTTTTCTTTTTTTCTGTTTTTCTTTCTTCCTTCCTTCCTTCCTTCCTGACCTAAAATATCACGACTCAACAGAAAAGGGTAATAATCATTAATATAGCATGGAGCATGATATACTCTTATAAGAAGCAGAATAATTACCCTGGAAAATCCTTGATTCATATGATTGAGAGATACTGAAGTTATTTATCTGCTATTTTCATCTTTAGCTAAGAACATTTTAATAAGTTGTTTTCCTTATTCATTATGATATAGCTATTTCAACAGGACAGATTTTATTCACCATTCACCATAATTTATCGTGATCAAGTAATCTCAATATTGGCTTATATTTGGACAGTTTTAAAATTAGTAATCACCGTAATCCTTTTGTTTGCTTAGCCATAAAATTTGGCAATATTCATAATCAAGGAGTGGCTTTGTGGGCTTCTTCTGAAGCAAAAACTAAATTCCTAACCTGTGAGAAATCATATTTCAGTGATTTCAAATAAGTTGCATGAAATAGTTACGGCAAGAGCTTACATCTGCCCAGAGTCCTAGTGTCATTCCTACATATGAGATCATTTTCTGAATGCCATTTTTTGAAGAGACGAGATATTTCTCTTCTCCACTTAATATAAATTGTGTATTTTCAGATTGACTTCTCCCACAAGATAAATATTAGTTTACATAATCTTCATTGAATAAATACATAATTATTAATGTAACACAAATCCAGTGTTTCCTGACTGCTAATCTACAAAGTCAGCACAGACGTTTTTAGAGTTGGATTTGAGAGACAAGTACCTTCAGAATGACTAGAAAGCAAGAGGAGTATGTTGTGAATGTTGAACAAAATGTGGCCGAGATGGTGAGTAATGCAAGCAACTCTTAATAGCTTTCATATATGTTTTTCTTGCTTTCAACGTTTAGCTTTTCACCCTGTAAGAAAATTTGACTGCATTTTTTTATGTTTCCTGTTACAGAATGAATGGAATCTAGGATATTATTATTTTCAGTAACCATAGGGTTGATGAAATTGTTAATTTGTATATCAGATAGTGCTTTCCTATCACTGGGAAACTGTGCACTAGATTTTTTACCTAAATTTTGATATGCATGTCAAACACCTACTGTAAGGTAGGGGTAGACAAAATTTTGGTAGATGATTTAGAATGTCATGTTCACAGCAAATATTAACATTATTATTTTTATTTATATATATATTAGTCCAGTGAAGAACTTACCTCGCTCTGGCCTACTGGAATTTAAAACAGTAATTATAAAAAATGTCTCATGATAGGGAGATCTAGGCTTAAAATGGCTAGTATGTAAGTCACATACTTCTTAGAACCATGGAAACAAAACTGTAAAAGTCTCATTCATGATTCAATTGAATTATTTCATTTTACGAATGAAGAAATTGACATATTTACTAGTTCACATTGTTGGTGTCAGAGTTAGAAACTGAATTCAGATTTCTCAAATATTATCTGCAGTTTGTAAGAAATACTTTTCAAAAAAAGTGACCACTACATTCCTGACAAAGAATAAATGAATTCTATGGTTAACTTGAAGTGTTATAGACAAAATGAAATAAAAATAGGATTTAATATGTAAATTGGTTTTTAATTTCAAGTTTGTATTTGTGACAAGTTTAAGTTTCAATAACTAGACTACAATAGATTCAATTTGTATTTGCCTTGTATTTCAAGGAAACTACAAATGTTATTGCTTTAGCATAGTATGTACATTATTTTATTTTTCCACAAAATATACTGAATATGACTTATAGAGTTTTCACAAAATAATAAAACATTTGTGAAATTAAGCTGAATAAGTTAAATAATTATGCCAAGCAAACAAATAGCAAGCCAAACTTCTGAGTTTGTAAAGAAAAAAGTACAAAAGGAATGATTAGAACTTCTCAGATTTTAGTATTCTGATAGACAACCTATAACTTTTCACAATGCCAAAACTAGGAGAAGATTTTTTTTTTCTTTTTGGTACCAGGGATCAAACTTGGGTTCTTGAGCTCGCACAGCAGGCTGCAAAACTACTGAGCTAAATCTCTGGCCCGGTAGAAAAAGATTTTTTTGACAAGTATTATAGGAGTGTTATTTTCTTATTTTAGAATATTTAAAAGATCCAGAAAATTCAAAAAGAAAGAAAAAAAATCACTCATGTTCTTGTTTGGAGAAAATCAGTGCTAATATTTTCTTCTCCATCTAATCTAATTTTGTTTTTTGGCTGATTTATTTTGCCCCTTGAATTCTTGTCAATTTACCCAAGGATTTTCTTCAAAAATTCAAGAAAGACAATAATTCAAATTCAGGGAACTAACTAAAATTGTTTATAAGAGGACATTTATTCAAGTTGTCTTTTTGTTCCTCAGTGAAGTTTTATGGCTTTATTTATGTAAGTCTTACTTATTTTTATGCTTAACCATTTTATATATTTTATTACTACTATGAACAGCAGTACACATAGCCACACATACTCACAAAAATTAGTTATATATATTTTTATAACTACCTAATTTAATAACTTACTACTTTGGATAGGTAATACAATCGGATGTTTGAAATTCTGTTTGTAGACAATCATATCATCTGCAAATAATAATACTTTTATTTTTACATATTTATTCTTCTTATGTACTGACAAGAACTTCCAGAAAAACATTATCTAAGAGTTGTGGTGGAAGTCTTTCTCCACTTATTTCACTGTTAAATGTGATATTGGTTATTCTTTTGAGGTAAACATTCCTTAGCACACTTGAGAATTTTTAAATTTTACTTTTAGTTCATTGAGATTTGTTTGGCTTATCTGTTTTTGTCAGGACTTAATGCTGAAATGTCAAAAGATCCTTGGGCATCTACTGAGATGATTGCTTTATTTTCCTTCTTTGATCTTCTGATATGAATAAAGTATTTGTATATTTCATATCATTAAACCATTATTACAGTTTCAGGGACTCCTAGAATTTAATTATTTCATCATTTAATACATGTTGAGTTCACATCACTTTATATTTATATGCTTATGTTCCCAATAAGATAAAATGTCCTCATCCTTAACAATCAGGGTTTGTTTACTTACCTATTTGTCTGTTTGTTTGTGTATTTATTTACTTCTTTGTTTCTGTGAAGTGTCCCAGAAATCCATACTGTTCGAATGAAGAAATGCAGTGTGGTTGCAGACTGCACAATGTGATAATCCAGCCACAGATGGTAAGGTTTGGGGAGGAGATAAGAAGTGTCAGTCATGCTCTGGAATAATGGTAAAATAGGACAGGCTAGTCCTTCTCCATCAGCTCCTCTGCAGGGTTCCAGCTGCCACTACACGATCTCCTGAAAACACCCGGGACCCACGCTCCTTACCAGGGCATCAAGGCTGAATTCTATATCGTTAAGATCTTGCTCCAGCACAATGACTTTTTCTATTTTTATGTATTCAAATTAAATAAAATTCCTTTTATTTACATTTGACAGATACAAATGTACTTAGTAAATAACTTTACTAAACCTCAATAGATGATGTGAAAATTAGAAATGATGGATAATTGAGAGATGCAAATTAAAACAATGCTGAGATTTCACCTCAGCCCAGAAAGAATGGTTGCTATCAAGAAATCAGCAAATAACAAATGCTGGCAGGGTGTGGGGGGAAAAACCCTTTTCCATTGTGGTGGGAGTGCAGACTGGTGCAACCACTGTGGAAATCAGTGTGGAGATACCTCAAAGAACTAGGATTAGAGGTCCCATTTGACCCAGCTATTTCCCTGCTGGGTATCTTCCCCAAAGAATTAAAAGAATCATACCACAGTGATATATGTGCACCCATGTTTATAGTTGCACAGTTTGTAATAGCTAAAGATTGGAAACAGCCCAGTTGTGCATCAACTGGAGACTGGATGAAGAACAATGAGATAAAAAACACTGCACTTTTCCACACTCAAAGATAACCAATGTAAATGTTTTAATATGTCTTTCCATTATTTTTCTACCTATTAGGACTAATTAGATAATATCATTTATACTGAGATATTAGTAGCTGATAATAGCATAATTCCTTGGGCAATCTATTTGCATTTAAGACGAAGCCTTATTACTTTAGTACAAAGAGATAAGTAGGAGAGGGCACTTGGTCTTCATAGGTTCATGAGTGTGGTATATGTGTCTGTGTGCATTTTGCCTATTGAATGTGTGTATGTGTGTGTGAGGAATAGACAGTGACAGTGACAGGAAAAGACAGAGAAACATGAAAAATGTGTGTTTTCATTACAGCATTTGGAATAATGAAACATGTTAGTCTTATTCTAATTGAAATCCATTAACTAAGTTACCACTATGCAATTTGCTGATAGAGTCATTTTTATTAAACCTTTGCAGGCTACAGGAAAACCATGGTCACTCTGGAAAATGAGTCTAGTGTGTCTTTTGGCCTGCTTAATAGCCTCAGCCATTGCAGTTCTGGTCTTATATTTTGGCCACTTTGGCAAGCCCACCAGCAATACCACCATCATCATTCACGCAGATGGAAAGTCCAGTCAGGATCCTGGAGTCCCTGCTCCTACCACACCTCCTGCCCCATCAATCCCAACTGGACCTCAAAGCATCATGCCTTCTACCCTCACAGCCAGCCAAAGTACACCTACTAGTGTACCCACAGCTTCCTTGGAGATGACTATCTCAATTACCACCACACCTACAGTGCATGAGGTTATAATTGATGAGGACTATGAGGAAGCATAGTCTTAAGCTCTTGGTGCTCCTCAAGCCAGATCTAAACCTTTACCTCAAAGGAGGTATGCCTTGCATTTTCTCCCCTTGCAATGAAGTTCTGGCTTTATAAGGACCTGTTCCTCTTGCTCAGTGCTTTGCTGGCTTCTCATGTGGTGATGACAGTCTTGGGGCCACCGATGTTCAAATGATTCGGAAAGGAAAATGACTATGAATCTGGGCGATTCACCCAGGCTACAGCAAAGAATATTTTTTCCCCTCTCCTGTGCAACCAGCCTCATGGATCACTAATGAGAATTTCAGCTCATAAAAAGGCTACCAGGTAGCCCTACTCAACTTAGCTTCCTTCATGCTGTTTTGAATCCAGTATCTACCATCTGGCAAGTGTGAGTTTTCTCCTAATCTCTTATACTTGACTCTTTTTCAGTATTTGTATGCCAGCAGGGAAAGAAGCTAATGTTCAATTAAAGAGATTAATAAGCATAATTTACTAAATATCTACTGATCTTTACTAAGGGGCACCTCCTGTTGGTGAATTCAGAAACAGTGGTCATCAGTAAGAAGTAAACAAGGATGGATCCTGAGAAAAAACTGAACACAGGAAAGGGGTGAAGGTTTAGATTTAAGGAGATGGTTAGAACAGAGAATGAAAACACCATGGAAATATGGAATCAAAAGCAAAAGCACACTCAGAGCTCAAATGTAAACAAGTGACATATTTACATGAACCTGCAATTTCTCATGAAGATGGACAATAATATTCTCCATATCTGATATTGCATAATCTCTAAACTATTTTGAACTGCTACTTAGACATTTTAAGCTCTTCCATTGTTTTATAACTCATTGCATAACTCAGAGGACATATTGCTTATGATTTGTGTGAAACATAAGACTTGTTCAATGTTACTCATGCTACAAGTGGTTAGTACAGTACTAATTAGAAGCATAAATTTTTTCAGTCTGGAAAAGACTTCAGAGGTAAAGAAAGCTGCCTGCCCTACCCTCAGCCTACTAACTACAAAAAGAGATTAACCCAAGAAAGACTAAGCCAAAGACAGACTCAGTGAGTCAACATTAGAACTCATGTCTCTAAATTATACTTTCTGAATCTCTTTGGCATATAATTAGAGGTCCTGTACCCATTCTAAAAGCACAAGACTTCCCAAGGCAAAAGACTTTGTACAAACCTAGGTTGGTTTTCTGCAGCCAATAATAGACCATTTAGATTAGCTATTAAATCCTTGTTCAATGATTAAGCTCTGAGTAAGAAAGATTAGAAATTATCATTCTTTAGAAAGTTGCTATCTGTAGGCAGCTAATATTTTTTCTCAAATCTGATAAACATAAAAATTTGAGTATTTCAGGAGTTATTAGACAAAGCACAAACATTCAATAGTAGATCTTGAGAATGATGAGAGGTATAACGTAAATGTTAAGCTCTTGATAAGAATAAGGCACAAGAGAGTAAGTACCCATGCATTTTCTCCACAGAATAACTTTAAAATAATGTAACTTCTATTATAATTTGATTTAAATGCTTGTGAAGAGGAAAGCTTAAATTTATTAGGATCAAATTACTTATGTAATTTAAACTGTTTTGTGATATGAAAGTTAAAAAAAAAATTGTAAGGAATTCCCTAAACAAATAAACAGTAATACAAAATGTTCTGTATTCTGCAAGCCTTCGTTTTTATTGGTTAATGTTTGCACTGCATAATACTTACATTTGTTTTGAGGAATTGGCGCATGTATAATCATCTATTGATTTTGTTCTGAGATCGTTTCCCCATGTCCTTTTCTGCAGGCCTTCCTAAATAACTAGATTCTCTGATAAGAGTGGTTCTCTTCCCTGACCCTTTTGATGGCACAGAATAAACAATACAAAAACATACCTTCTTTATGCTGAAGGAGGATCATATCTCAGCAATTTCTTAGGTCAGATATTGGTTGGAAGAGATCTTAACTGAGGCTATCTGAGGTGAGCAACTTTTGTGCATAATAAAATGGACACGTGAGGAACTCCTGGACTTTTTTTTTTTTTTGCTTTAGTCTTTTCCAATTTAATAAATTGTCAATGGAACCATGGAAAATGTCTTTGCATGTTAACTTTATAACCTGTCCATGGTTTTACAAAGTACTTTAAAAATACAATGTGAAGTGTGCATATTCAATGGTAGATCATCCATCAGCTAGAAAGGTTCTCTAGAACATTTCACAAAACTTTTTTGAGTGCAACATTTGTTCTTAAGTCCAAGTGAATGTATGAGAAATTTAAAAATTCAGTTTTCAAACACACTTCTTAACAGATAAGAATACAATTCACTCCTTTAGATGCTGTATGAGAAAAATTTTCTACTAGGCATTTTGTTCCCCAAATAGGCCCTTTTATCTACACTAAAAATCTGTTGTAACAAGTAGACCTGCTTCACTGTCATGTCCACATATATTTCCGGGAAAACCCATAGGAAGTACAGTATATACTATTTAAGCCACCTCAATTTGATATTGCACAGTTTCAAAATCTTGGATCATCTGTGCTTTATAACAAATTATGATTTGTGGACTTTTTACTTAGTTTTCAATGACCACTGAGGCACCTCATTAAGTACCATTATAGCAACAGGCATCTCTTATTGGTGTTATTCTCAAGACAAACATGTTTTTATTTTGCCAGATCTTTTGCTGACTTTTGTGCAGGCATCACAAAAGCATTTGCAGGTGTCCCTCTTTGTCTTTGAAAATGACCCCTCCCATTAGTTTCTTCCTAAAGTCACATGCGCCATTTGTCATTTTCACACCACTTTCAGCACTTCTTACTGTTTCTTCTATTGACAGTTACATCATACGAATTTTCCTCCTCATATAACTTTTGTACTAATCAGGCAAAAAGTATTTTAACGTGTCCATAATGTACCTCAAGGCAAAGAGCAAACAAAACAACATTCGGTAGGTTAACAATAGATAGGAGAAAGTAAAATGATTGTGCAAAACAACTCATGCCATCTTTTATGTACTGTAGCTGTGTTTTTTCCTGGTGTAGTTTTGTTTGTATGCCATACTATAAACACGGGTGCTTCTGTGCCTTGTATATTGCTTTCTACATTTGCCTGTATCCTAAATAGAAAACATAGGCTAATCTTACAAATGGAACAGGAAATCTCAAATTATTTATTATTTACTACTTACTGCACCAAGAACACCTGTATCAGTTAAGGTTCCATTGCAATTGACAGATGTACCTAAATGATAATGAAGTTACAGACGGTATAGAAAAATAATACAGAAAAATTTCTCTCACACATACATTAAAAGGCTGGTCCAGAATTGGAAAGTCATTACATGATCACCAGAAACCCAGCTAGACTCCTTTCTTTTTATTGCTCATATTCTAGTTGCATGGCTTGCATTTCATGGTTCAAAGTAGCTGCTTAAACTCCAGCCAAAAGAATATATATATATATTCCAGTCAACAGAAAGAAAGAGAGCTGAAGGAAGGGCTTGATCATTCCAGTTAAAAATACATCTCAAGAGGTTTCATGAACAATTCTTTTATATTTCAGTTTCAGAAAGTAGTTATAGAGTCAAATATACAGGGCAAACAAGCTAAATGAATATTAGGGAATCACTGAGAGTCTCTGCCACAGCTAAATTTTAAAAAATTTAATGAAAAAGTTAGCATTTTACTACAAAATCCTAATCTCTTCATGATCCCCAGGTACTCTAACTTTCTTGTATAAACATTCTGAAAACTGCAGAATTGTAACAATATCTAAACATGAGTCATTTATACTGTCAAAGTGCGCTGGCCTCAGGTGTCCTGTCTCCAGGAGATTCCCCTGCACAGATTAAACATCAGGAGCCCCTCCCAGGGGTGGCTCATGCCTTCTGCTTCTGTGCATCTTCACAGAGCCCAGCCCTGTGCTGCCAAGGAGGGAAACAAAGCAAGCATTTGATGAATTAAGACCTTGGCAACATCACAGAGACACCAGGCAAGAAGAGACCTTGGGGATTACCCAATCTAAACTCTGCCTTCTGAAGGGACTGAACCTGGAGCAATCTTTGATGAGCTCTGAGTGAGTGCAGGAATAGTGCAAAAGTCTTTAATTCTGTTACCTCTTTGATGGTGCATTAGTGGTAAGGCAGAGATTAGAAGATCTCTGGGTTTTGCACTAACGTGCAACCTTTTCGCATTACATTATTTGAATTTGATTTTGGCTTTCTCCCTCCCTGTGTAAATTAAGTTTGTTGAAGTAAGGTTTTATTAATTGCTACTTAGTTTTAATGCATTCTATTTCCAACTGGAGAAAAGAAAATCAGGTTCTTCAGTAGCATTTTTCTCTCAAACTTTTCTCTATCCTATCTTCAATTTTACCTTTCATTTTCTCTGAGGTTCAGGTTTTCTTCTTTGTAGGTCTCATAGGGTTTTATATTTTTCTTCCAATGCTCTAAATAAAGCATATAGAAGTTAAAGTATACACACTTTAAAAATGGGCAGCCTAAAGGACCTGAGTTCGATCCTCAGTACCAAAATAAATAAATAAATAAATAAATAAATAAATAAATAAATAAATAAAAATGGGCAGTCAGGATTGGAAAGCTATCTCCTTGTTTAAATGTGAAGGCAAAGATATTATCTTGCCTTTCTTTGACCCCTCTTCCTCATCTAGAAAGTGGGGATAAAAATATCAACTACATCATACATTTACTGTGAAGTATGGCTGGATTAATATAGGTTAAAAAAAATCTTAGAACTGTGGCCTGGCAAACATTAAATACTAGCTTGTGCTGTCAATCAATCTGAGGGTCATGGTGAATTCTTAAGTCAAAGATAGGTTTCCCCTTGTCACTTGGCATATTTCTGATGATTTCTCCTCTTTTAATTAAGAGTTGATGAATATTCAGAAAATTAAAGGTAGTATTGATATTCAATTAAGAAAGAATCTCAATGATTTTGGAGGCTGGGAAAGTATTATCATAGAGGTATCTCAAAGCTGAAAGTAGATTAAGAATTGGTTGCAATCTAAAAAAAAATAAGAGGGCCCAGGGATTTAGCTCAGTGGTGTCACTGCCTGCCTCACAAGTGCAAGGTACTGACGTGGATTCCCAGTACCAAAAAAAAAACAGTGAATGTACAGAAAGACCTTGAAAGTTTGTGATTCACCTTCAATCCTGCAAGAACAACATAAGCAATGGGCCACTCACTGGCTAAATCATATAAAGAGAATTACACCAAGCACATTTTCATGAACATAAAAATAATTTTAAAAGTTTAGCTATTTTTTACTTTGAGGACCAGTGAGGAAGGCCTCAGTACAAAAAAAATTAACATTTTAAAAAATTTATTTTATTTTATTATTTTATTTTTTGATTTTCTTTTTTAAAAATTCTTTTATTGGTACATTTTTGGTATACAATACGTTTACATTTATCATTGGGTGCTTGTACCTGTACATGATGCATCTTAGTTCTTATTTTTTTCCCCATTACCTGTGTGCACTTCACCCCCTCCACCCTTTCATATTTACATAGATTTCATTTCCATTTTTTTTCCTTTCTCATAATTTTTCCTTTCCATTCTTCCCTTTCCCCTTCCCCTCCCACCACCCCTACACCTTTGGACCTTTTCCAATTTCAAATGATCAATTATTCATTTTAAACATTTTAATCTTTATTTACACTTTCAGTTTCTCACACCAGAGAAGCTATTTGGTATTTACACATGTGTGTCCTATTTATTTCACTTAAGAGTAAGGCCTCAATATGCATCCATTTAGCTTTACATGTCTCTAGTTTCTCTTTCTTTATGGCTGAGTAGTACTCCATTTTATTAAAAAAAAAACCCACATCTTCTTTATCCAGTTTCCAGTTGATGGGCATTTGGGCTGTTTCCAAGCTTTAGCTATTACAAACTGTGCCACTATAAACATAGGTGCACATATATCTCTGTGGTATGATTCTTTTAATTCTTT